CCTCCACCTCACATGGAAACATTATTATACTGGACAGTAGACAATCTGCCCTTTTACTTGAGGGAGGCACTATCTCTGTCTTCTGTACAGCTATCCTTGAAAAGATAGTGTAGAACAAAGGCAGTCCGTGGCTCTCCTCACAAGATATGTAGAAGAGATCTATGTAGAATTGTGTCCCAGTGTTCTTACAGTATTATAAAGGGAGGGGCGATGATAGATGGTCACATTTATTTCTTCTTTCATTCAACTAATTGAGCGCTAGCCCTATGCCTGGCCCTGTTGTGGGCACTGAGGATATGGTGGTCAGCAGTGCCCTTGTGGACCTCACATTTTAGTGGAGAAAATAGATAATAAACAGGTTTGTAATATAGCCTAGGGTAAGTCCTACAAAGAATCTAAAACAGGATAAGAGGACAGAGTGGCAGGGGAGTCCTTTTAAATTGTAAAATAAACACCGTAATGAAGTGTAAGTCTGTGCAATATAAATAGAAATATAAAAAGATATTTTCTGAATAGTAACAGAATTGCAGTGATTGTGTGGAGCAAGGGGAGGAATAGGTGATTCATTGCCACAGGTAAAACAGGTCACAGTTTTTAGTTAGAAGTGAGTACTAGTAATAATCAGAAGAATTAATGTAGTTTGTTCTAAGTGTTGAGATTTGGTGCAAATGAAAGGTAGCCATGTCTAAGGTACCTAAGTAGATGAAAAGAATAGATAATCTATTGTGGAAGGTACATAAACGGAAAGAATAACAAGTAAAATTATAGCATCATAAAGGAAAATAAAAATATTACTGTTAAAATGCTAAGTGAATCTCCCATATAAAAATAAAATTAGATTTACAGTCTTAATAGTAAAAAAGTCTCATCTCACAAACTCCATAATGATAGTCCTTTTGTTTATTTAAACCCACTCTGGGGCACCTGGGTGGCTCAGTTGGTTAAGCGACTGCCTTCGGCTCAGGTCATGATCCTGGAGTCCCTGGATCGAGTCCCGCATCGGGCTCCC